AGAATTACACAATGAATCTAGAATGTTAATCATTACAGTATTTGGAAATTCCAAATTTGGAAATCTCCCTGACTGAAGTAATTGACACATAATTTTAAGGGATTTTTGTATGATTTGATAAGTGTAACCCCCTTAATGAATATTCATGAATACGATGATTGTGATCGCTAATTTGTATTGCTCAGTTGACCTAAATATTTTATTGGACAAAATATTGTAAAAATGTAATACCTCAAGAGGTATAAAAATGCTTGGTTTTATCATGATACAATAATAATAACCTAATCATAACCTTGTAAAATAATTATTGCTAATAAAGACGCATAACACTTTTACAAAAAATAATTTGGCCCTTGAAAAATAAAACCTTTGACAATCTTTTGCTGAAAAACAACTTGCACCTTAATTAAAAACTATCCTACCTTTATCTTTATCTTATATATTTATCAGACACCTCTTGAGCTCTATTTGAAATTACATGCTTGCAGTGGCAAACTCTACCAATGATATTACCAGTAAAAACAACTGAAGGTGAACATTGCAACCAATTTTTAAATGTTTACATCAATAACTTTTTTACTGCACAAAAGTGATATGAAGTCAGATTTAATTGTTCTTTATTAGAAAGTATGCAGAGACCTGATTTTTTATGCACAGTAGATGAGGTGCCATTTTTATCAGAAATAAAACCACTTGGTACAAGTCCTCTACTAAAGAAAAAGGATTTCAAAAAGTCCATTAAAAGCCAAGATGCATTAAACCAACAGCTGGACTATACATGCAATCCAAAGTATTTTGATCTACTATTGATTAATGCAGGTTAGTGCTTTATTATACATGCAACCCAAAACATGCAGGCTGCATAGTTTTTATTATGATTGCTCACTCATTATTCTTACATCAGGAAAATGCCTTTGAAATTACATGTGTACCCTACATATAAACAGCATGTAAACAGCATATCATTATCCAAGTATTATTTTAAATTACGGGGCTTTCATGTATAATGATTTGTGTATCATACATTTTTACACTAGAATTTTTTTTAGTAATCTCTTGTACAATCAAGGTCCTTTTCTTCTCTTCCAATTGAATAATAAAATGAAGACTTAAAACCTGGGCCTGAATTATGCAATTGTTTATCAGAAGATATACCAATTCCATATACAAATAATTGGAATTTTTCTAATTTACAATTAAAAGGACAAAAATGAATATTTTTCAAAAGCTGCTCATTAATTTCCAATTTGTTGTGGCCCATAATAAGAGCTCCAGAAAACTTAGTCTTGCTGCCAAAAAGTTCTTGATAAAGTGTGGTTATTGCAGCTGAAGGATTGTCAAAAACAGTGCTTTTTTTGCCTTTTGCTTTGCAAATATATCCAGGCTGTTGCAATGAGCTTTTGTTACCTTGAACAATAGTAAAAGTAAATTCTGTATCTTGAAGAATGGTTGTTGTTTTCATGTTTACACAAATTGGATATAAATTAGAAATATTGGTGTCAGTATCAGATACATTATTTGTTTGTCGAGCTTCCCACCAATTGCTTGAAAATGGACCAAAATGTAAATTCTCACCCAAAGAGCCAAGTGAGTTCAGAGAAACTTTGATGTTCTTTTCTTTTACTCATTACTTAATATCTATTTCACTTAATAATTGAAAAGTTTTAGTAAGAAATTTGAGATTCTCAAATATTTTAAAAGTTGTAATATTCATTATATGGTGCGAATCATCTAAAGGCATCACGTGCTGCGCCACTCGCCGAAAATTTTTATGCTGATCTTGCTTTATAAAGAATCCAATATATAAAGTAAATCCAAATTTGTAAAAGATCTGTGACTTTGTCACGTGAATAATTGGTAAATAATCTGTAAATTGCAGTTTAGATATATAGTTGCCGAAATTTCAAATAAAATAGCAAAGTTACCCAACTTTAAACCATTATAACTTTTTTTTTAATTAAATAACTCTAAAAAACTTTCTATTACATTATTTTTCATGTCTAGAATATTGCAAAAATAGAGAGTTTTTGGTAAAATAGCCCATATTTAATAAAGTATCAGCACTTAAAGATTGGCAACATTTGATGATGTCTTTAGATGATTGCCACTATATATATTTATTATATCCAATGATCAGCAAATTTCTGCAGTTCTCACACAGATTATGAATTAATATATTTTATGTTGTGGCTGTAAAAAAAATTTTTTTTTGACAAACCACAATGGAAAACACTTTGGATGAAAATAAACATCATCATGATACTTCTACTGACAAAAATGATGAATATTCTGATAAAAGAAAAAAAAGTATATGGTGAATGTCCAACATGCAATAGATATAATACTCATTATTCATGGTGCCAATCATGTGATCCAAAACTATTAACTGAAGGATGGACTAGTGGCAATGAAACATTAGATGAGTTGATTAAAAGTACACAACTTAAAGCAACTGAGTATAATAATTATTATTATCCTCAATGGGTTCCTTATAATGATTTAACAAATATTGAAAAGATAGGTGAAGGTGGGTTTGCAACTATATACAAAGCTACTTGGCTAAATGGTTATAAAAGTATAAATTATGAAAATGGAAATAAAAGAATTATTGAAGATATGACTGTGGCATTAAAAAAACTACATAATTCACAGAATATTTCTGATGAATTTTTTAATGAGGTAAATTATTTGTTTTTCTATTTATTTTTGGATTTTTTTAAATATTATTAATTATTATTGTTGTAAATACATATTTTATTTGTTGTTTTAGTTCAAAAATTATATAAAGTTTCATGATATAATTCATATTTATGGATTAACACAAGATCCAATTACAAAAGAATACATATTTGTGATGGTTTATATAAAAGATGGAGGTCTTCAAAATTATTTAACTGAAAGTTTTAAAATTTTAAAATGGAAAAACAAAAGTCAAATGCTTTATTATATTATTACTGGTTTAAAAAATATCATAAAAAAGAAATTATTCATCATGATCTTCATAGTGGTAATATTCTTCAATTAGGCAGATTGCCACAGATTGCAGACTTAGGATTATCATGCTCAGCTAGTCAAACATCATCATCAAACAAAAATGATATATGTGGAGTACTACCATATATTGCACCAGAAGTTTTAAAAAAGAAATCATATACAATGGCATCAGATATATACAGTTTTGGGGTTTTGATGCCTGTAATATCAACTGGTCAACAACCATTTAATAATTTGGCACATGATGAATATCTTGCAATGAAAATATGTGAAGGTGTAAGACCAGGATTTTCAAACAACACACTGAAATTCTATATTGAACTAGCATTCAAATGTATGGATGCTAATCCAGATAAACGTCCAACTGCTAAAGAAATTCATGAGATTATTAAAATTTGGTATTCTGGTCAAAGTGAATCAATTAGAAAAGAGTTTAAGAAAATGGATGAAATAAAATTCGATCCTTCAACAATTACTGCAACAATTCATCCAAATGCAGTTTATACTAGCAGATTATTAAATTTTACAAACCTTCCCCAGCCTGTGAATTCCAATAAAGTAACAATTATTGGTAATAATAATGGTAATTATCAACATTCAATCATTGATTATTTTCATTTTTATTAAAATTAATAATATTTATTAATATCCACACTTGTGATAAATATTTTGTAGATTCTAAACAAATTGATTTAGCTATACCAGATGGCTTATCTGAATAAGTTAAATCCTGTCACTTGTTATGTATTAAATTATTTATTTATCTGGATACTATAGTTTAAATCTCAAGTAATGACCAGACACTCACCATTTAAGTAGAAACCCTGTCTACTTCTTTAAAACAAAGTCACCTCATTGTCATAATACATAAAAACTGTTGTTGTTATTATTATTTCAATGGCACATAATATTTAATTGAAAAAAAATGAATAAATAATATTAAAATGTGTTGGCATAAAAACTAAACATGTTTTAATCATCATCTTTTGTTATCATTGGCATACTGAAGTTTTGAGTAATTTCAGTTGATGAAATATTTGATGATGCAGCTTGTTGAATTGATTCATTTAGTAGCCAACTTGTATAGAGTGATCATGGATGCTGCTTATGATATGTCAGGAATTTGACTGATTTAACAATTCTTGACATTTAGCTTCTGCTAATTTGATAACTTCCTCAAAACAATATCCAATTAAACAATTCATAATTACTTCTATTTTCAGAATTACGATCCCAATACCTTTCCATCAATTCAACATAGAATACTGAGTATCATCAGTGAATTAATTCATTATTTATTATTTATTATTTATTGTTAGAAGGAAGAAAAATTTTTTTCAAGACATGAATCTATCTATTGTAGTTTGTTTCATTGTATTTATTTTTTTTAAATTAATAAATTTTTCAAGAGAATTAACTAATTTTACTTGTTCATTAGTATTTTCTTGTTGTAATAAAAATGCATGGACAATTTCCAAACTTTTTGAAGCTTCACTAGTACTTATTAATACTTGTTCAACACTATCATCTTCATCTCCTTCGTCATTATTGCTTCCTACTTCTGTCTGCTGCTTATACATTTCCACAATTATTTCAACAATTTTATCATCCTCAGGAATTTCATATACAATTTCTTCTTCTGGATTATTCAAGAATTCCTCAACAGACATTTGTTCATTTGGGTTAAGAGTAGCAACAGCCTGATCTATTGTTGAATTGTTGGTGTTATCAGAGAGGTTAGTTAAATTAATATTGGTTCTGTCAAGAAGAATTTTGGTGTGATTCCAGCAGTTATGGATGGTTTCAGGTATGACTCACTCCACCCTTTAATAATATAATGTATTGCCTGCAATACATCTATTTTTAAGTCTTTTATATTTTTTCCTTCTTCAACTTGACTTAGGATCCAGTTGATATGTAAATGGTGATAATGTCTTTTGAAAGACAATAATTCCAGCATCCATTGGCTGGATTTTTGATGTGGTATTTGGAGGGAGGAAATGAATCTCAACATTTGAAAGAACTAAACCATCAATCTTATGACTTGGACAATTATCAAGAAGTAGCAAGGCATGTAGATTTCTATGTTTCTTAGCAATCTCTTGGTCAAATTCCTGAAGCCAGTCTTGGAAAATAGTTGTTAACATCCAAGCCTTAGAATTATTATGATATGTCATTTGTAAGTTATTTATGTTAACATTATTAAACCATCTTGGTTTTTTATACTTTCCAATTATTAATGGATTTAATTTGTGTGATCCATCAGAGTTAGCATACAAAGCAATTGAAAGCCTTTCTTTATTTTTTTTATGTACAGAAAGTCTTTGTGTAGCTAATGTTCAATCTGGTTCTAATTTATAAAAAAACATCTCATCCATGTTGTATATTCTTTCAGGTGGATAGCTTGCACATTTATCTTTTAACAATGGTAAGGCTTCAGTTATTGCATTTAGATCAGCTGACGATTCCTCTCCATGAAGCTTTCTTTAACTCCATTATGTCTTTTGAATTTATAGAGCCTACAATTTCCCATGTTTTTATTAAGAAAACAGGGTCTGATATCTTCACAAGTTATAATCTACATGTCACAGGATGGTATTATGTAAAAAACACAAATTTGGTCAAAAGAGCTCGGAGGTGGTTTTTGCTGTAGAAAGTCCCAAATATTGTTAGCTTTTCTCATATTTAAAGTAAAAAAGCACTAAAATAATTATATACTTAACATACTCTAAGGATATAAGTATATTAAAAGAATAAATAAAAAAAAGGAACAATCAAGAAAATTATGACAAACATCCTAAAAGAACAACAACAAGCAAATAAAGAACTAATCAACAAAATTGAAACATTGAAAAAGCAATTATCCAATAAAGAACAAGAAATTACTGAATTAAAAATCTAGGAGAAGTAAGTGAACAAGAAGAAGCTGAATTTAAGCAAGAAGCAATCGACTAAATTCACCAAATATTGGTAGATATGAAAAATAGATTTCCTCATTGTAGTAAGGATATTGAACAAGATTTAAGGAAATTGATTAGCAAACCATTAAGAAATCAGTTTATGAATATTTGTTTTCAACTTAGTCTTATGTATGACTATAAATGGGAAGGTAAAGAAAATCTAGAAAAAGTAGTTGAGAGAATTATTATAGATTACTTTGAAGATACTGAGTTAGCTACTGAATTGAAAAAGGATTGAAAACTATGAAATCAAAGAGCTCATATTTTTTCTCGAATAGAAGAAGGAAGTAATATTTGAGGCAAGCCTGCTAAGGATATAATTCTTAAAGACATTATCAAAAGTAAAATTAAAAGAATTAAGGATTTAGAAACAAGAGTAGAGGAGTTAGACAATGAGGTACAAGTGGAACAAGAGGAAATTAAGAACATCTTAACAGTTGGTGAAAAATGGAGTAAAGCTCAAGCAGAAGATATAAAAGAAAAAAACAAGAAACTCGAAAGTGCTGGTGAAAAGATTTCTCATCTAGAAGCCCAAGTTGAAAAGTTGGAAGAAGAATCAAGTCAAAAGAGCAAAAAAATAGAAAAACCAAGCAAGCAATTAACTGATAGTGAAAAATTTGAAGAATTTGATCTACTTAGATAATAAACCTTTACCTGCCTTACCTATAGAAGAAGAAAACAAGACTTCAGTTAAACAGAGCATATTTAAGCAGTTAAAAACAAAAGCAAAAGTTAAGATTCAACATTTACAAAAGTTAAT